CATCAGGCTCCCTGCTCGGCGGGGAGCCTGCTTCTCCGTCTCCCACTCCCCCTGCTTGTGTTCCCTCTCTCGCTGTGTCTCTGTCAAATAAATAAAAAATAAAATCTTAAAAAAAAGAAAAAAATCCCCAGTGACACTGAAAACCGCCCTGAAACTGACCACAATCCCCTAATTAGTGGATTGTCTTGGCCTCCAAGAGACTATTCCACTCTTTTTCCAATCTTCCCAGATCTCCAACATTCCTCCCTGCCACTCCTGCTCATTCTCAATTGATAACCTCACTAAAAAAATAGAAATCATCAAAGAGAATTACCTGTACTTCCCAAGAGCAGGGTAGCAACCAACGTTCATCTGCATTTATACATTCTGCCTTCTTTCCTCAGACAGTGGACACACCAGGTGCCCTGCGCCCCGACCTGCCCATTCCATCTTGTGCCCTCTTGCCAACCAGGCCTGTACTCTCACAATTATCCCCCTGACAATCCTCAACCCAGTACCTCCAGCCTGAGCTCCGACCTCACATACCCAAGTGCTGACCTGATAACACCACCTGGGTGACTAACAAGTGTCTCATACCTGCCACGTCCGAAACAGGATTCTCAACTCCCTACCCTGCCCCATCTTCCTTAACTCAGGAAATGACACCAACAGTACCACCCTTGACCCTCTAGCTCAAACCAAAACCTTGGGATCATCCTTGACTCTCCGTTTCCCCCATATCCAATCTAACAGAAAGCCTTGTTTGCTCTCTCTTCGAAATATATGAGGAATCCTACATTTCTCTCCACTCCGCTGCTAGCTCCATAATCCCCCATCATCTTTTACCTAGCCTGCCACAACAGCATCCTAGCTAGTGGGCCTGGTTCTGCTCTGGCCCTCCTACTGTCTAGTCACAGCACATCAGCCAGGACAGTCTTTCTAGAACATAACCAAATCATGGCACGTCTGTTCTTGAAAGCCCCGCAGCTTTGTACCCAGAATAAAATCTAAACTCCTCACCAGATGGACAAGGCTCCAGGGCTCTGGGCTCTCCCTCTCCTCAGCCCCATCTCCTATCAGTCTCTCCTTCCTGCTCACTCCAGAACACTGGCCTCCTGGCTCTTCCTCAGTCACACCAAGATCATTCCTGCTTCAGGAATTCTGTACCTGCTTTTCTCTCCTTCGGGAATGCTCTTCCTTTGGGTCTTCACATGCTGAGCTCCTTTGCATGATTCAGGCCTCGGATGTCCCGTCCCTAAAGAGGGCCTGCGAGACCACCCCATCTTAAACAGCCTCCATTCCAATATCCTACTTTTCTGCGTCACACTTAGCTCTACCTGAAGTTACACTATTTACTCATTTGCTTCTTGTCTGTCTTCTCCACTAGAACGGAGCTACCTGAGCTTAGAATTGTGCCAAGCACAGTGAAGATGCTTAATAAATATTTGTTGAGTTAATAAATACTACTTTTACAATAAAAGTCAAGCTGATTTTTAAAAGTGTAACTGCATGAACAATTGCTACATTGTGAATAAACTCTATCTGTGGGGAAAGACTAGAAAAGAATAAACGCCAGATGAAAGAAGTTGCAATGAGAATTTTTCTTAATTTACAACATCCTATTCTAGCATTTCCTGTTATTGTTTTATAATAAAAACCAGGATCTTTTCTGTCCTAAATAAAAGGTTAGTGAGGATCTATTAGTGCGAGAGGGTCACGACTCTAAACACCGGTTGTGCAAAAGAGAAAGGTAACTCTGACAACTGGGAGCATGCACACCGAGGCCCTGGGGTTACACACGAACATCAACAGCAGACAAGTCCACTCCGTGAGCAGGATGGATTCAAACAAAAACAAGACCAAGCTGCAAGGTTATGTGAACACAGACAAAACATGAACACTGTCCACACCACAAAGTACCGAACATCCCCCTCTCCCAGCTAATGAGCGAGTGTTGCTTCTTTGCCAATTTCAGCTTTGGCCCCACTTTAGTCTACCCTCCCTACTGGTAAGATTGATTAAAATACTGAATCACAGACCTGCCCATTTTCTGACAGCATCCAATCCAGACCAAACCATCTTTCCAACACCTCCCTGAGACGCCCCACAGTTCCCTGGGATGTGCAGCCTCCCTCGCTGCAACAAGCAATTCAGCCCCAACCTGCTCCACTAAATCCAGGTGTGTTCCTGGTGATGCTGGGTGGGTGGGCACTGACAGGTGTTACAACATCAGATGCAATTACAGGCCACTGTACATGCAGAAGTCCTAAGAGACCCAGCTGGAAAACTGACCCCAGGATATAATCTCAGGGCTGCTTCTCTGAATACATTCCCTGACATTGGCTGATTTTCTTGTCATCTGCCTCTTTCTCCTAAAAACTGAGTGAAGGAAATAAAAAAAAAAGCCAAATTAATAAAATGTCCCAATGCATAATATTACACTTAATCACGGATGCCCTGCACAGCTTCCCTTCCCTCCCACTTCTGAAAGTCACCCCAAGCACAGGGTTAGCGTGGGCTGGATGACTGACTCTTGGGCAGGGCCTGAGGCAACACTACTCAAGTACTTTAAGCCACATGTTCAAGCCCAATAAATTAGCCCAGGCTTAAAGAAGTCAGGCTGTACACATGTAAGAATTTTAATAAGCCTGGAAAATGCTACCTAGAGCTTATGCACGAGCTTACTGTACCAACGGGATTCCAGGCCACCAGCCACGGAGTGCTAAGCCCCTGACAAGAGCTGTCAAGCACATGGGGCAGCAGGGACAGGGAGTCGGCTTCGTCTAGGTCTCCTCAGAAGCTGGAGACTCAAAGCAGAAGGCTGGCAGCCAGACGGATGGAGAACAGAATAGGGCATGCAGCTCAGTGGAGCCAACGGCATTTACTAGGAAAACACGTCGAAGGTTTGTTTGGTGGAAATCTGGTCCTCACACACCCTTCCAGAAACTAGCAAACACCGTAATCAATGTCTGCCTTTATCAAATGCCTGTTTGTACCCAGAACTGTGTTAGGTACAATAGAGAGTTATTTAAGCAAACATGGTCTCTGCCTTCTAGATGCTGACACCTAATATAAATAAAAACAATAAATCTGTCCAGAGGATTACCAAACTCACTGAACAAACATGAAATAGTCAAAAGCGCCGACCTTATATAAATGCAGTGGGGTAAGAGCTGAAGGGTAAGTCATGGGAGATGACTCTCTAAACAGGGTGGGGCCTAATGGACCAGTTACCTTGTTAAGGCTGAGTCTTGGCGGGGGTGGAGGGAGGGGAGCTTTTAAGAAAAGCTACAAGGGCAGGCTCTTGGGCTGGGGGAAAACGAGCTAATCAGAGAAGAGGCTGAAGCTTGGGGCTTGATTTAAAGACTGAAATACATGTACGGGAAGAAAGAAAACTTGACAAGCGTCCAAGAAAAGTAGGGGAAATCAGTTGAGCAGGTGTATGTTTCTCAACTGCTTTTACTCAGACCCTCTTCTGATACACATAAAAAACTCATACGCCCTTTTAATGTTATTTAAAATTTGAAAGGAAACTAAATATCCTAACCCACACCAAACCAGGGGGTTCAGAATCTGATTTTCCAAATGACAAAACCCACTCCCTTCCCCTACAGCTGAGACTCACCCGGCTGGATGGGAGCATCTGTCAACAAGGACAGAGCAGCGGTCACTGACTTCTTAAGGGTCCACATGGGACCAGACAACCAGCAGGATTAAAGAGCTGCAGCGTAAGGTGACACAGACAGACCATGGCACTAGCAAGAATATGTCATAATTACCTGATTAAAATTTTTGAAGGAAAACTCTTTGTAGAGGGCGTCTCTCTCATGTAATTCCGACCATCCTGCTGCTTTCAGGTCAAGGATAACTTGGTTCCTCTCCTCTGCTGTCAAATGGCGAGCATCTGCTGCCTGCGGAAAGAACACATGTAATATCTGAAAGGTAGACGTTCCGTTAAACTCAAACGCATAGCCCTTTACCTTATGGACAGATGCAGAAAAATACCTTAAGGGCAACAATCTGTGACCATTTTGGGTTCCTCTGTTCTCAAAAAAGAGACAAAAATAAGGCTAGCTCCATACAAAAGCAGCTGCTTCCACACCACGGCACTCACACGCCTTACTGCTGCCTCACACTTCACAGCTCTGTCTCTGGTTGATCACAGACACAGCCATCAGCCATTACCGCTGGTCATCTTACCAATGACCGTATTGCCAACCAATACCTCCGACCTTACCTACTTGCAGGGCTACTGAAGGCTCAGGTGAGAGAGGGACTGTCACCCAGAAAGACAAAACATATTATAAGGGCTCCTCATCAAACGGCAACTGGGAGCTGAGCTGGATCTTCCACCATGAAACCACAACTCATTCCCACTTCAGAAATCCTGAAACCCTTTATCACTGACATTGATGTAAGTAAGAGGACAGAGTAAGTAAAATTATTTTAAAACAATTTATTCTGGGGCGCCTGGCTGGCTCAGCGGGTTAAGCATCTGCCTTTGGCTCAGGTCTTGATCTCAGGGTCCTGGGATCAAGCCCCACGTGGGGCTCCCTGCTCAGTGGGGAGTCTGCTTCTCCCTCTCCATCTGCCTCTCCCCGCACCTCCGCTGGTGCGTGCACGCTCTCTAATAAATAAATAAAATTTTTTCTTTTAAAGATTTTCTTTGTCAGAGAGAGAGAGCGCGCACAAGCAGGGGGAGCGGCAGGCAGAAGGAGAAGCAAGCTTCCCGCTGAGCAGAGAGCCTGATGTGGGACTCGATCCCAGGACCCTGGGATCATGACCTGAGCCGAAGGCAGATGCTTAACCGACTGAGCCTCCCAGGCGCCCCACCACACAGATGTTTTAATCAGCCCCTCAAATGTTTGCTCCGGTGTGTTGCTCTCCATTCCAGTGACAACAAAGGACGCTTCTGAGGTTTCGAGTCAACAGCGGCTACAGAGCCCATCAGCGGGCACAAGCGAGGCTGAAGCCACTGTGTGTGATAAGCATACAGGTTTTCACTTGACCTGACAGGAGCCCATACGGTAACAGCAAAGGACACTTTCTAAGCTACATGATGAATCAGCCTTGGGAACATCCTCCTGGGAGTGTTCCCCTACCTTCAACAGAGTACGTTTCCACTTTCAAGAGTGCTCAGATGTGACATTTCTATTATTGCATTACTGACTCATAACTCTGACGTGCACCGACTTTTGGCTTACAACAAGGAACAACGAAACCCGAATTAATTCTTTCACAACGAGAACTGTTGAGAGCCGTGTCCCACTGAGGACTGTTAAGATTTTCATTAACAGTTGTCTTTCTTCTGGTATCATCAAGCTTTTGACTTCACTAAGTGTTTCAAAATGTTAACCATAAGCCTATTATCAAAGTCCTCAATAAAACATTTTTATAAAGCAAGTCAGCAACAGTAACTTTCAACAGCTCTACAGCAGGAGCTCCGGGACACAGGCAGGGAAATACTTCACAAACCCCGAAGTCACATACGGTGCTACCGAGGCTGGACGCACGAGACGGGGCTCCTCGGCACCAGCAGCCTCACGGCCCCGGCCGCTCAGAGGGCAGCAGTTACAGCAGCCCTGACGTGATGAACAAGAGGCCAGACAAACGAACCTCGGGCCTGGCCGGCAAGCTCTACCTGTGATCCGCTATGCAGCTGCAAAGGGCCATTCTTGCAGGTCAAAACGGGCTGTGGGCCAGTTCGTATGATTCACCCTTAGAAAATCAAATGCCTTGAGGGCCGGTCCGCCGGAGACGGCCCAGACACGGTAGAGGAGCTCCTCTGGGAAAGCAGGGAATCCCAGGTCTTTCTCACAAAGCTGCGTCCCTTCCTCCTGAGTCAGAAGTGTTCTCCATTACCAACTGGAAACTCCTTGTATCCTCCTCCTGGAATTCTTCATTCACCCAAAAGATACCAACCCAGGTGTGGTGTCCCACCGTGGCTGCCAACCTATTCCTGATGGCTCACTTCTCGCCACGCTGAACAAGGGAGACTCCAGCATCCCCAAGGGAGAGGATGGGGGAGCCCTCCCCGGGGGCTGTGGCTCCTGCCCTGGAGGGCTCCACCTGCTGGCATCTGGAATAGCTGTTCCCTGGGTTCCAAAGCTTCACCTTCTGCACCTCCTTCCAAACTGTCAAACCGCATCAGATTTTGCAAGCTTCCCACCTGACTCCACAAATGACAATACCTAACAAAATTTACCTTTATGGGACATTCCCACCCGACGTCTTGTTCTTTCGACGCAGGCGCCCTGCAGTTGCCAAATACTTAAGCATCGGTTTGTCACTGAAAGACCTCTCCCTCCCTAAGTCTACATGAAAAGAAGAAAAGCAAAACTCCTTACAAACGCCAAGCCCACCCTGTGTGAGTCCAAGCGCTCTAAACATAGATACTTGCAACTTCAAGTCCTGGCAGCACGATGCTCTGACGGCTCAAGGAGGCTTGCCATGCCCGACACACTGCCCTGCAACCCTCAACACGCTGTGGCTCAGCGCAGTCCTCCCCCGGGGAGATTCAGTGGCTCCCGGCCACAGAAACCTCTGACCCTGGCAGCCACCAACACCGTTAGAACTCCCTGGGAATTCTGCTCTTATAGTCTCTAAATATTTGCACCCATCTGAGCTATCAAATGAATGTGGACTATTTGGAACTAACCATATCCTGGAATAAAACCACTGAGAAAAAAAAGAAGTTGCAATGTATTCTGCTGGCTACTTATTATTATAGTAAAACCTAGAATAACCCAAAGCTTTGAGAAATAGGTTTTTCACCCAAGGTCATAAAAATGTTTTTTTTTTTTCCTTTTTAAGATTTTATTTGAGAAAGACTTTGGAAAAAAAAGAGAGAGAGAGAGAAGGAGGAGGGGTAGTGGGAGAGGGATAAGCAGGCTCCCCACTGAGCAGGGAGCCCGCCTCAGTGGTCAATCCCAGGACCCTGAGATCATGACCTGAGCCGAAGGCAGACGCTTAATCCACTGAGCCGCCCAAGCACCCAGTAAAAATGTTTCTAAAAGGTACAGTTCAGGGGCGCCCGGGTGTCTCAGTCGTTAAGCATCTGCCTTCGGCTCAGGTCATGATCCCAGGCTCCCCACTGAGCAGGGAGCCCGCCTCAGTG